GTGTGATGGTGTAATGTTATGAAATATATATTTGATCTTTGACCTTGTAACTCCTAAAATCTTTAGCAACTCCACAGTGATACCTCTTTGCATCTTAATGAGTTGACTGACAGCTGACCAGCCCTTCCAGGTGGGGGCTGTTCACTGGAAAGAATCAAGGCAGGATTCTAGGGTTGGGATTTTCAGGCCCACTCCCTGACCTCTGGGGAGGAGAAAAGGGTTACAGGTTAAGTTGATCACCAGTGGTTAATGGTTTCATCAATCATGCCTGCTAATGAAGCCTCCATAAAACTCCAAAAGGACAGGGCTTGGAGAGCTTCCAGATAAGAAGGTGGGGGTTTCTGGAGGGTGATGTGCCCACGGAGGGCACAGAAGCTCCGCGTCCCTTCCCCCATACCTCATCCTATGCACTCCTTCATCTGAATCCTTTGTAACATAATAAACCAGTAAACGTAAGTAAGTGTTTCCTTGGGTTCTGTGAGCTGCCCTAGCAAATTAATCAAACTCAAAAAGAGAGTTGGGGGAACCCCAACTTGAAGCCAGTCAGTCAAAAGTTCCAGAGGCCTAGATTTGTGACTGGTAGGGGTTGGGGGTAGTCTTGTAGGACTGAGCCCTCAGTCTGTGGGATCTGACACTATCTGTAGATAGTGCTGGAATTGAATTGGAGATACCCCGCTGGTGTCTGCTGCAGAACTGCTTGCTTGCTTGGTGTGTGGGGGAAAAACACAAACACATTTGGTGGCAGAAGTTTTCTATGTTGATTATTCTGGGAAAACTCTATTGTCTCCTTGGACAACATATGGATTTCGGAAAAAGATGAGAGGGTGTGATGGTGTAATATTCTGAAATATATATTTGAGATCTTTGATCTCATTTCGTGGCATACAACGCCTAAAATCTTTAGAAACTCCACGGTGTTATCTTTTTGCATGTTAATAAGTTAACTGAGGCCCTATGCAGCTTCAGGGTGGGGGCTGGTCACTGGAAACAGCCAGACACCCCCCAACCTTGGTTCTTTTCACAGTCTTCTGTGTTGTAGTGTGAGAACAGAGAAAAAGCAGTTGGTCAGCAGTGACCAGAGATGGTCCCTGGTTGACAGCATAGGCTTTGGAATAAGAGAGGCCTGGGTGAAGTCCCAGGCAATTATTAGCAGCTGTGTGTATGAACAGATTCCTAGATTCACCACATCACAGGATTCTTCTGTCAAATGCATAAATTAAAATAGCTCCTGTCCATTAGGATTGTTTTAAGGATGAAGTGAGGCACTACCTATAAAGAGCACAGAACCTGGCACACAGAAATGTGAACTAAATACTTACCAACGTTAGTGATAATGATTCTTGCTTGTCCATGCATGTTTTCTTCACAGTGAGCTTAAGTCTTAAAAAACAGTTCTACTTTCCTCTTCAAAATTTAATTTTTGACTGTCCTTCCTCCATTTGTATTTATATTTTTCCCCAAAAAACAATCTCTCCCTCTCCCTCCCTCCCTCGTTTCCTCCCTTCCTCTCTCCCTCAGCTTGTTCTAAATCTTGCTCTGAACATTCTTTTTCACATTCCTTTTTAAATCTTACAACAACTCCACATACTCAGGTAGAAAAACAGAATCTTCTGGTCTTGGATACAATATATTAAATGTTTCATTTCCCTCCAAAGGAACATGTGTTCCTGCTTAAAAGTTATTTTATTCCCAAATCAAAATAATAGTCAAAGATGTCACCTTTGGGGGAAACTGGGTAAAGACTATGTAGAACCTTCTTGTAAATTGTTTTTTGCAATTTTCTGTGAATCTATAGGTATATAAAAATAAATTGTTTTAATAAAAAAATTTCTTGTAAGTGTTCTCATTTCTTCTTTGTACTTTTCTGTTTGATTTCTTATAATGAATATATATTTGCATTGAAAAACAATAAAATTACTCTTACAAGAATAAAAATAAATACATTTATATGGATTACATTTCTAAATATAAACTATAAATGCATTAGAAAAATTCAGGATTTTTTTTCGTGGAAGGGAGGAGCATCAGAGTAAGAAAGATCATCCAAAGAAACATTGTTTTTTTAAAAGAAACCATAAAGGAAAATACTAAAAAGTCTCATTGCATAAAAATTTTTAAATTGCAATAGAATATAAATTAAAATATATGTAACAGGCTAGAATAAAATATTTGATACAAAGACTTAATATACCTAATATAGAGTTCCCATAAATCAATAGAAAAATATTTTTAAAAGCAAGTCGAAAGTAGGCAAAAAATACAAAGAAACAGAAGAAAAAATACTAATAGTCAATACCCACTCAGCTCTTCTTATATTCAGAAAAATGCAAATTAAGTCAAATATAATGTATCCTTTTTTTCCACAAATAGTATTGTTTTTCCATATGGGTAACAATCAGTCTTATCCATTATTGAAGATAAATGGTACATTTTGGGGAGGGTAATTTAACAATATCTCCCAAAATTAAAAGCTGATTGCATTTCTAGATATGTATTTTATGGGAATACTTATGAACCAAAACAAGTAGTGCCACACTGTGAAAAAGTGAACACACATGCCGTTCACTTGGATGGGACTTATTTAGATGACAAGCGCCTGGGCCCAGAACATCTGGATATTTCACTCCTAATTGCTAGGGACACAGATGGACCTAAAGCAATGCTTGATTCCTCCTTCTCTACAATGAACAGTCCTTGGAGAAACAGCTGATAGCTCGCTGATGCACTTCATCAATTAGAGACTGACCCCGCCCCCGCCGAAGCTCCCACAGCAGCTTCCCAGATTCCAGGGAATTTCAAGATTTCTGGAATTGATACTAGAACAAGAATTTTACAACTGCTCTCCCAAATATGATGGAATATAATATAATGTAATGTGATATAGTATACTATAACCACATATTCTTGTACATTCTGACAATATTGCTATTTTAAAGCATGCATGGATTGGCCAAAGCAATGTAATGGATTAGCCATTGCTTTGTTTTTATTCTTGATATTAATTCAGTTCACAGTTGCCAATCAATAAATTGGGACCGAAGTCAACAAATTGAAAAGTAGCAGTAATGAGGAAGCAGAATATTGTGCTGTTCTTTGAGCAAAACAATTGATCTTCTTGTTATTTCTACCATCTCTAAAGGCAAGAAACAGAATTCCAGAGGAAGCATAAAATACTGTTTGGATTCCCATAATCCTGCTTTCCTTATTTACAATTCCCTTCTTCATCCTTCCTGCCTGTCCGGATGGTTTTCCTCTTAATTTCCCAAACTGAACTATGCTCACTGCCTTTGAGATGCTAAGTACTTGAGAAGACTTCATCTTCATTCATCACAAACAGAAGTCATAAACTCTTACCTTTGCCGAATTATGCTGGGGTTAGCTGTCACTAAATGACTTTTGGATCCAACATCTTTAGTGTATTCACTTGACAAAGGAGGGAGATTGCATCTAGAGAAACAAGAACAAACATTTTGGAATGATTCGCATATTTTAAATCATCAGTTAGAATAATACAAATAGAAATTTTATTAATTCTAGCTCAATTCACAAGTAACTGTTTCTTTTTTTAACCACCTCTCCCTTTCAATAGACATTAGATGAATAATTAACTATCAGCATCTTCCAAATGCTATCATAAAAACCACTCCTGTTTAGGAAGAAAGATAATGTCAGCCAAAGGGGTAAATGATCTACAAAAAGAAAGAGACAGTAACTAGGAGGTATTTCTTCCATTCAAAATATTTTTGAGAGGGTAGGACAGACATTCTTAGACCTGAATTAGAGCTCAGGACAGTGTGGTACATTAGAGGACATGGGACCTACAGTACCTCTGCACACTCATAAACCTCAAAAGACAGGGAAGAATTAATATATTTCCTGGTGTTTTTCTTTCTTTTTCCAAAATCTAAATTATAAAAGTGCATTCAGGGCCATGTGCTATTCACTTAAATCACAGCATGTCTGACTGTGTGTGTGGCCAATGCACAGGCTGATTATTGGTGAAGGCATAATGGCTCATCATCCAAATAAATGCAGTGATCCACCATCCCAGTTCAGCCAAAGGAAAGAGTACGGGTGATGTTTCCCTGGTGATGGGAGTAGCCACTCCACTCCCACTCCCAAAACACCACCCTGCCCTAGTTCCTTTCCTTGGCCGCCATGTCTTATAAATGCTTACAATGGGAAATATGACCACCCCAAATTCAAATCCCATGGCTTTCTGCCTGTGGAACATTAGGCAAGTTAATTTATTTGCCTGACTTCAGTTTTTCCATTACACAACATGAGGATGATGATTTTTCCTCTTTTATTGAATTGTTGTAAGGATTAAAAACGGTATGCAATAAAAAAAATTCCCTAACCTTGATGTGTACACTTAGTAAATATTAAAAAATATCACAAATCAGATATAGCATACAAAAATAATTAAATATACATTTATTATCTATGAAAATGCCAATTGGACCTATAGTTTCCATTAAGCTTTCTTTTATTACTGAGTCCTCATTTCTCCTCTCCAACCATATGTCTAACTTGATTCCTACCACATTAGGGCATCTGTAACTTTTTATCACTTCAGTAAACCAAAGCATCACTTACTTGTAGGTAAAGATATCTTACAAATATTGCAGTCTCTGCTAGTTCCCCAACAACTAAATTTTCCCTACAAATTACCCCCAGTATCCAGGCACCCACTCAGCTGATCAGCTCAGGTTCTCTGATTTTGTCTCTTATTTACCCTGTGAGCGTCACCACATCAAAGCATCCTAGGCAGAAACTTGTCTCAGTTGATTTAGAAGCTTCTTTTTATCTGCTCTTTGGTGATAAGATACTGTTTTTTCTGGTAGCTGCCAACAGGTCAGTTAACCAGTCAGTGGCTTTTGCTGAATGCCCACTGAAAGCACACAGTGCTTGGGGGTGGAGCCCAAGTCAGAGAACCTACTCTTGAGGTATGTACAAGAGTAGATAGAGTGGTTGCCCCATATCCCATGTGGTGTTTCCTGAGGATTCTCATGAGGGAGTGAGTTTATGCATCAACAGCCAGGCTCATCCGGTTGTGGTAACGGATTGTGGTCTTGTGATTTAATTGATCTTTGCAAAGAGGAAGATGACTTCCAGGATAAAACACAGACTAAAATTTGGATACTTGTCTCTTAAAGCAGCTTTGATCTTAATTGCCCTTGGAAGCATGTGAGAATCAGCTACGTTATGCTAAAACTGTAAATTCTGAGTATTGCTGGAGAGTGCTGTCAACGTGTTTTGTCATTATTAAACGAACTGGTTTTCATGAGTAAACACTTTGTTTTCCTGTGTGTTCCATGGCTCATGTGTCTGGGTCTTTTCATATCTACTGCCACAGAGTAATAGCTCAAGAAAAACTTGCAGTTATTTATTATCGTCTAGAACAGAGGGATTCATGCTTAAAATCATAAAGATAACATTTTATATGAATTTTGATGTATTTCCAGAAAATAACGACAATACATTTTGGTGTAAGTTCTGGGTAAACTTTTTCTTTAAGTGCAAATATCTGTGACACTTTCCTGTATCTCTTCTCTCAGGAAAAGCACACCATAATTTTAGTTCCTCAACTCATAAATTGATAATTACAAAGATGTACACAAAAGGCACATTTAATAAAGTCAAATTGTTTTAATAAGGCATATTTGTGGTGTAAAATGTTTCAAAGTTTGCCTTATCGCTGTTGGCACAATTAACAAATATTAATGACTGAAGTGTCTTAGCAACTGTACTCATGATCTTAAAAGAGATCTGATCAGAGAATTAACAAGAAATGAATATTCTTTGAATTGGGATGTGGAAGTAAGTGGGAAATGGGCTTGATAGAAAGAAATCTTAAAGTAGAAAAATCACAAAATCCCTTTACATTTTTTATATATATGTGAGTATACAAAACATACATTTGAGCATAATTCAAAAGGCACCAAAATTATGTTCCCTCATTCATGTCCCCAAGTTAACCAGTTCCTTTTGAGGATGCAATCCCTGTTAACTTTTGTCTGGTAAACCTTCCCAATAAATTGAATTCAACAATATTATTTTTTAAAGTATTGCTTTTGGCTACAGAGCAAATGCTTACTTTGAGAAATGGGAAATTGATTTTCAGCACTAGAAGATGTGTTTGAAAACATTTAAGCAGAGAAAATTATGAAATTGTTGTATCCTACTCCTAGAAGACACTTTGAACTGTAATCTGGTACATCACTGTGTACAGGCAGCACTACTTTTTGATGTTGTCTCTCAGTACATCTGTTCATCACACACCCTACAGTCTAGGACCAGACATACGACATGCTTTCTAATCTACATTTATTCATTAAATGTTACATTTTGAATATATAATATCTCGATATATTAAGCATGCCCCAAAATGCATATTAAGCAATGATTTATTAATAGATCTGCAAATGGTCAAATAATTTTAAAATAATTTATCGACTTTTATTACTCCTATAATTTAAACTATACATAAGGCTTTTAAAAATTAAAATGTGTCATAAAACAGCACTATTCTTGAAATTAAATCAAAGGCATATGCATACATAGTTCTTGTTATGGTGCTACCTTCTTTGAATTCTTTCAACCCTCATCTCCTCATATTTTAGAAACATTATGCTCAATATTGTGCCAGGCACTCTAATCAGAAGCACCCTTTAATTCTGAACTTGAATATATCAACATCAGATTGCATATAAAGCCAACAAAGTCTTGTTTACTTGTGATAAATATGGCCCACTGGAAATAATAGATAACACTCTATGGTGCCTAAGCCTAGTCTTCTACATGTTAGTACATGTCCATCTTCACAAATGGATGACACACACACATACACACTCATGAATAATACAAAAATACATTTATTATACTGCACGAAGTGTATTTACACTTCCACGTGTATCAAGGCCACTTGAAATCACTTAACTTCTTTGAATCCGTGAGTTGAATACTATGTATTCCTTCTTTCTTACATAATTTTTGGAAAGAGCACATAAACTAATAATACTCAAGAGCAATTTGAAAATATAAACTAAACTTCATAAACGGTGTTACAATTATACGGTATTCATACAGTCATAGATAGAGTAAGAGTTGCCATAGTGGGAAGGGCCTGAGGAACTGACTACTCTGCTTCCTCCTACAAATTAGAAAGCCGGGCCCCAGCAAGGGTAAAATAATGCACTGTAGGTCACAGACCTAGTCAACAACAGCAAGGACTTGTCTCCTACCTCTCTGTGTTCTTTGCTGGCTCCTCAGCCTCACCTAATGCCAAAATACTGAAGAGGGTGCCTGAAGGTGGCTCAGGGCTCTGCTCTCACCTATTCATGCTCTCTAGGTGATTTTCTCCACTCCAATACCTTAAACACCTCTCTGGCTCCATCTCAAGCCATTCTCCCCACTGTTCATGACATTGCAACAGCACTTGCTGTCGTTCTCACCTTGGACCCTTGGGTTGTTTCTCTGCTTAGGGTGATGTGAAGAGAAGACTCAGCTCAGACACCACTTCTCTTGAGAAGCTCCTGTGTGTCTGAACTCCCCCACGGTAGCAAGCACATCTCTAGGACATAAATTCATGACAGGATTGTTCAGCACACCATTCCCAGAGCCAGCTCAAGGCCCATAGGTTATGGGTGCTCAGTGAGCAGGTGTTGCATTGACTGGAACTAAAAGAATTACATTTGACTTTTTCCATGTTTCTATTATTTGTATATATTGAAAAGAAAAACTGCACTATAGAGGAAAAACTATGCTGGGGGTACCTGTACGAAGGAAAGGTGGGTAGACAAGGATCTAGACTCTCCTGCAGGCTTCAACAAGTGAGAAAAAAATGTCTTTCAAGGAGACTAACTCCGAGAGAGAACTTAGCCCCCACAAGTACATGGCTTCTCTTGAAACTCTCTCAAATAAAGTCTTTACTCTTCCCTCTCCCACTTAGCTCAGGTCTCAGAGGTGGCTTAGCATTCTCTCGGCTACCTTTTTTCCACTCCTAGACTGTTACTCATTTATACCTAAAAATAAACAGGAATACAAAATCTCGCCCAGCTTTCTGTCCTTGGTGTTGCTGCGGTCTTCACCCTTCCTGGCCACAGAGTCTGCTGGCACTTGGTTCATAGTCATTTCTACCTCAATGAGACTTGAGGGTCCACCTGAAAGGCCTCTCAGAGTCTATCCTCAAGGTTCCTTTATTTTCTCAATAACAAATGTTTTCTTTTTCTACAACATGTCCACTCATCCCCCAGATACCCTGAGCTCTGAAATCTTGCCCTCCAGAAAGCCATTCTTTGACTTTAGCTGCTTCTTCTTATTCCACGTCTCCTTCATTCACAGCCAGGAGCCACAACTTACCTCACCCCTGCTCTGAATGACCCCATCATTTTTCCCTTTCCTTTCTCTTTCACTCATCTCAGAGCTCTCTTCCTGCCCAGCCCAGATTTCAAGGTGTGTTACTTTACACTCTCTCCAGCCAGAGCCCTCCAAGTTGTCACTCCCTGTCCTTCTTCCCTCTCACCCAGATAATCCCAAACCTGTCTTTATCGAATCACTTGCTGTCTTTCCTTCTATGCCTGGCTGGTAAGCATGTCTGGGCAGAATCACCCAGCAGTGCAGGCTGCTGCCACTACAGTTTGGCAGTCTCTGCCCCTGGCTGAATATGTCTCAGCAATTCCTTTTCATCTCCTGCAGGGGCCTCCTGTTTTTCCTGGAACAGATGTGCACATCACCAATCTGCTCAGTCCCTTTACCAAGCATCCTCCTTGTTTGAAATTTACCCCTGTTTCTTTGTTCCAGTTTTCCCACTCACTCAAAGATTTAATCTGTCTTCAGATCCCACTTGCTACTTACACATGCTTTGGTGAAAAACGAAGAATATGGTATAGAATAAAATGAATCCATTAAAACATTTATTCACAGAGAGTTGCCCTTAAGGAAAAGAACAATTTAAAAAGTCAGAATCACCTGGCTGTACAATCTAAAATGAGATGTGAGATTTTCCACTTTCCCCTGTTCCCTTTATTCACAGCAGAGTGGGTATCTCTGTTCCGCCTGAGCCTTCTCGGCTTTGTACTTTCTCGGGGCATGTTCCCTCATTCCCCTTACCTCTCTCCTAAACTCACTTGTCTATGAGCTGGAAGTGAAGCTAAGGAGCGTGCTACAACTGATTAATCACAAGTGACTAGTTTTGAAAAGCCCCAGGGCTTATGGGAGGGGTGGGGAAAAAGGAGAGAAGGCAGAGGCCGCGCTGTGGGTGCTCTCTCTTACCGCATGACAAAATTTGCTTCATCTATTTGACGGCCACAGCCACTCTTCTTCAGAATCCCACCATTTCCCACCACCGCGCATTTCTTCAATGGCAGCTGGAATGGGGTTGCCTAGCAACAGAAAACAAGGCGGGTTTTCACTGCAAAGAACACACAACTGCTCACAAAATCATTGTTTACAGCAGACCCTTTGGAGGAATTTGACTGAAGACTGGGTCGAGCAAAAAAGAGCATGTGAAAAGAAAGATGCCAAGAAGTTTGTAAGGAACAAACTCGTCTGTTGCCTTGGAATTTAAAAAGCAAAATTTTAAAAAGCCTCCCTGAAGTGTATTTAAATATAACAACATTTTTTTTTTCATCTCCAATTGGCCATGCACATAGTAGAAGGTGTTTGCTAGGGAAATTAAAAAAAAAAAAACACAAACTAAACACAGGATTATTTTTAAAGCCATTAAGCTGGAAACAAATGAGCTCCTTTCTCCTCTGTGATTGCAAACTCATTCATTCATACAATCGGCCATTCACTCAACAAATGTTTCTGAATATTTCCTTTGCTAACTGTTGGGGAGAGATACATGCGACAGAAGTCACAGGCCTGAGGGTTCACAGTTCGGGATGTGAGGAGAGAAAGGGATGATGAGAGTGTGAAAATATATACCTAGGTAACAAACTCTATTATAATGCTGAAGTTGCTGCCAAAGAGATACTGACCGAATGTTATGGGGCAATCCACAAGGAAGAAGAAGGTGTTTCTGCTGAGCCAACTCAGGGAAAGCTTTCTCACCTGAGCTGAACCTTAAAGAATACGTAGGATGATGGTTTCCAGCTGCATCCATGTCCCTACAAAGGAAACAAACTCATCCTTTTTTATGGCTGCATAGTATTCCACGGTGTATATGTGTGCCACATTTTCTTAATCCAGTCTGTCACTGATGGACATTTGGGTTGATTCCAAGTCTTTGCTATTGTGAATAGTGTTGCAATAAACATACGTGTGCCTGTGTCTTTATAGCAGCATGATTTACCTGGACACAGGAAGGGGAACATCACACACTGGGGCCTATTGGGGGGAGGGGGAAGTAGGGAGGAATAGCATTAGGAGATATACCTAACGTAAATGACGAGTTAATGGGTGCAGCACACCAACATGGCACATGTATACATATGTAACAAACCTGCACATTGTGCACATGTACCCTAGAACTTAAAGTATTATAATAATAATCATAATAATAATAATAAAGAATACGTAGGATTCCTCCAGGCACGGAACGCAGCACAAACAATGGCACAGAAGTATTTGCTGAGAGTAATGCTGTGTTTATGAGCTAATGAACACTCTGGGTGGGTCTGTCTGGAACTTAGGATCCACTAAGGGGCAAGTGGCTTGTGCAGAACCAGATAGCATGTGACCTTCCTTCTGCCAGCACTGAACTGGACTGCAAAGAAAATGTTCAGTGTATCTGAGTGTTCCCTGAAGTGCTATTTATAGAATGAATATGAAAACCCAGCAATAGCCCCTGAAAGTGAAATGCGTCATTCGGTCACTTCTAGCTGGGTCAGCAAGAACTGCCAGGTACAGAATTTCCTGCTTGCTGAAACAACGCAGAGCAGCTGGAGTTCTTTAGGGAAAGACCTTACATATATATAGCTGGCATCAAAAATAACCACCCTAGATGAATCTCAGGCAAATAATATGGGTTATTCCAAAAGAATAAATTCCATAAGTATATGAATATACACTGTAAGGGCCTCATATAGGCAGGAAGTAGTTAAACCAAAAATAAAATTCCAGGTGTTTCTGTATTCATTGGTAGCTGAGGTGGCAACTTAATGCAGCACAAGAAGAGGATTTTAATCCTCTGATTTCTAGTTGTCAAAGGAACAGCCAGAGCTATGGAAATATTGTTGATAAAAATACAGTACTTAAAGTGTAATGTCTAAGCATTTGCCAGCAGAGTTAAGAATTTCCTGCATTACTGCACCAGAGACCAGCCCAACAAACATCAGAGCAGATCCAGAGTGCAGGGACGGGCAAGAAATAGAGGAGGGCTTGGAATCAACACTAGAAAAACATCAGTTAAAGCTATAATTTGTTAGGTGAAGATTTAAATGCTTATATTCAAAGTAGCTGTTTGTTTATTCCACAGGTATTTACAAAGTGCCTACTATGCATCAGGCACTGCCCTGGGTGACAGGGACATAAGCAAAAATTCCTGTTCCCACAGAGGTTATATTCTACTGTGGAAAACAGACGATAAGTAAAGATAAATGAGTAAAATGAACAGTGGGTCAGATGGTGACATAAGCTTTGGAAAGGAAGAAAGCATTGCCATGAAAGGATTAGGAGATGCTTTCGGAGAGCAACTGCAATTATTATTATTATTATTTTCTTTTGAGACAGAGTCTCGCTCTGTCACCCAGGCTGGAGTACAGTGGCACGATCTCGGCTCATTGCAACCCACACCTCCGGGGTTCAAGTGATTCTCCTGCCTCGGCCTCTTGAGTAGCTAGGATTACGGGTACACGTCACCATGCCCAGCTAATTTTTGTATTTTTTTATTTTATTTTATTTTATTTTAGTAGAAATGGGGTTTCACTAGGTTGGCTAGGCTAATCTCAAATTCCTGACCTTAGGTGATCGGCTCACCTCTTCCTCCCAAAGTGCTGGGATTATAGGAGTGAGCCACCACACAGGAACGACAATTTTAATAGGGTGATCAGTGAGCAAATTCCTGTAGGAGATGAGGTAGTGAGCTTCACAGATCTCTGTGGGAACCCCTGGGGCAGAACCCCTAAGGAGAAAACATTCCTGGGATGGGAAAGGGGGAGCAAAGATCCTGTTGTGTCTGGAGATGAAGAAGCGAGGGAGGGAGAAGTAGGAAGGATATCGGACAGTAGACTAGCAGAGAGGTTGGGGAATACATTCTGAAGGGCCTTGTAGGGTATTGTAAAGACGTAGATTTTTATTCTAAGATGAGAATCAAGTCAACGTTGGGTGTGCAAAGGAGTGACATTATGACATATTTTGGAGCAATCACTATACTGCTATGCGAACAGGCTGTAGAATGTCATGGGCAGAAAGAGAGAGACCAGATAGGAGTGTTTTGTAAGAGATTTTGGTAACTGTTGAACCAGAATATGTCCAGAATCTGGCTGCTTCTCACACTACCCTATCACTGTCACTAGGAATAGTGAGAAGTAGCTAGGTTCTGGACATATTCTGGAGACAGAGCTAACTGGATTTGCTGATACAATGAAAACAGGGCAACAGAAAAAGAGAGAAATCAAGGATGATGCCAAGAGTTCTGGCTTGAACAACTGTAAAGATAGACTTGCAATTTACCAACATATGGAAGATTACAGGAGGAGCAGGTTTCTGGGGAACGATTTGGAGTTCAATCTTAAATATGTCAAGTGCATGATGTCCTTTAGATACCCAGGTGGCAAGGTCAAGTAGGCAAGTGAATATATGACTATGCAGTCAGGGAGCTGGTCTTTCCTGGAGATAGAAAATAGACAGTGATCAGCATGGGTATTTAAAGTCAGGAGACTGGATGGTGAATGAGTGCAGATGGAAAACAGAAGAGGTCTAAGAATTGTCCAAGTTAAAAAAAAACTGTGTCTCAAGAAGAAAGGAAAAAAAAATACATCAAATGCTACTGATAGATTAAGTAAGACAAGAGCTGAAAATTGCCATGGGACTTAGCAATAGGAAGGTCACTGGTGACCCTGAAAAAGGTAAATTTAGTTCAGCGATAAGAACAAAAACCTGATCTGAGTAAGCTATACATGTACATTTGCATATTTATTTTCATATAGCTTATTTGAAAAATCTGGGTTCACTCATCCTCAACTAATATTTAGTTTGCTTTATAAAAGCCAACTAAAAATCCCTTTAATTGTTGTTAAAGAGTGGTTCTTGCTTGAACCTATTAGACCGGGAATTCCAGGTTTTCTGTCAGGAATCTGGCCCCAAAACAAACAGATCTTGAAAGCAGCAACATAGTCCTAGATATAAACAGTACCTCCTAACTTCCATACTGTGGAACTATGGAATTGGAAGATAGGCTGTCAAACCCCTCTGTATTCTGCTTCCTGTCCTAGAAGGGATCTAACCTCACACAGGTTTTCATGAAATTATATGAGTTTGTGGATGCCAAGCATCTAACCAAGCCAGTGGCATGGAAGTCCATTCATCTTCCTTCCCTTTTTCATTTCTTTCCTCCTTCTAGCAGAGTCTCCTTGGCTTGCTCAAGCCATGAAGTGCCTAGATTTCATGGTTTCTGTAGAACATGGTAAAATAGTAATTTATCACACTACCTTAAAAATTAGTAATAATTTTATTAACAGAAAACTTAGCTATTCTATCCATGCACTAGTAAAATACCATCCCCCTAAAGCCCTCAAACAGAAGTCCAGGGGTTTAAAAACAAAGCCATTTTGACTTTTTATTGACAAGCAATTTCATTTCATTTCAATAAATATTTCTTGAGTGCCTGAGTGTACTCTCTGGGCACTTATAATACATCAGTGAACAATAACAGCACACCAAAGCCCATTTACAGACAAAAAACTTAACTGAGAAAATACTATGATTTTTTTAAAGTAATTGAGATAATACTCTCATTAACACGCACAGAATACCTCCTCAATTTCTCAGCTTGGCAATGGTCCATGTTTTCCAGAATGATGTATGAACAAGATGTTTTCCTTTTTGAGTCTACTTATATAGAAAGAAGTTTGGTCATCCATTGCCACATGAATATTATTATTTTAACAGAGAATATTTTTATTAAGGCATTGCACGCTGTCTTTTCAAATGTGTCTCCTTGTACCTATGCAAGAAAATAATCTACTGGATTTGAGAATATAATATACTATAATACTCTTGCTAACTTTAAAAAATCTATTCTAAACACAAGGATAAATTAGGTTAACTATAGTAATGA